GCCTAAGTAAACAAACTGACACCAACTTCTGCTTGGTGCAAATTAAATACAATACATGGTCCTTAATATATCTACATGGAAGGAAAAATGTATTGGAATTCCTTCTGGGTTCTGGGCCATTTATGATTTTTATAATTGACTTACATGAAGAAACTTATCAAATTTTTTGATGACATGTTACCTCAGCTGGCAGACTCTAAATTCAGAAGGATCTTGATTTGAATAATGGGCTCTACCCTATATAGCAGCAATACAGCGATAGAAATTGTTCCAATTCTGCACAAGTACAAAAAACCCAGATACAAGATAGATGCTACCTGGTTTGATAGTAGTTTCTATCTAATTATTAAATCTTGTGACAATCTTTATTAAATCTGGTATTCTGCTGAAGCATATCAGATTGTTGCATTTACAGATGTATAATGTCATGATCATAGGAAATGACAATTCCATTTTATGCTGCACTGGTTAGATCACACCGGAGTAATATGTTTAGCTTTTGTTACTACAATGCAGGAAGTGTGCTAAGAAACTAGGAGAACTGCAAGGTGGTTTGAAACCAAAGAGGGACTTGAACTCTAAATGCTACAAAGTCCTATTAAAGGAACTGGGAATGTTTAGTCTAAAAGAGAAAGCCAAGAAGCAGCAGTTTTCCAGTATTTGAAAGACTGTCATAGGGAAGAGGTGTGGATTCATTCACCATAGTGCCCAAGGATAGGACAACAATCCTTATAGAAATCCAAACTCACAATAAGGTATAATTTTCTGACATCAGAGTTAATCTGCCTCCTTGAGCTGGAGGTTTTTAAGCAAAAGTTGTGCAATTATTTGTCTGATAATGGTTTGATAACACTGTTCTGGGCAGAAAGATAGATTAGAACAGGGGTGTCAAACTCAATTTCATTGTGGGCTGCATCAGCTTGTGTTTGACCTTGGGAGGCAGGGTGGGAGTGGCCAGCTATACATCACTTGTGTCAGGGGTGTCTGTGGTGGCCTGAGAGCTCTGCCAGTGAAAATGGGTTGTTTCCAGGGTGGCCCTATGGGTCAGGTCTAAGCACGCCGTGGGCCAGATCCGGTCCCCGGCCTTGAGTTTGACACCCCTGGATTAGAAGACCTTGAAGAACCCTTTCAACTCTGATTCTAATTCATCTAAGAAAGACGAGTCAAGTGGTGAACAAAGACCTGAGTTGGCAAACCTCTCAGATTATGTTCTTTCAAGAAGTTTGGACTCCTCTAACCATTTTAAATAGATGCCTGTCAGTGTTGGTAAGAGTGGCAAGCCACTAAAATATAAATTGAAAGCAAGCCCTATTCCTTACTAGCACTGATGACGTTATCTAGTTTGGGTAATGAAAAGTCAGTTAAGAAAGCAACCAAGCTCAGAGAGCATCAAGGACCCTTCATTTCAGCCCTGAGCTACAAACATTCTCCTTTATCAGAAGCTAATGTCCTATAGCCAAGTGGACAAAAGAAACTGAAGAGAGGCTGGGTGTTTCAGCAAGAAAATGACCAAAAAGTGTGCCTCAAAATTAAGAATGAAATATATACTAAGTTTTTTTAATGGATTTCACAGTTCCCACAGAATACTGAGTATCTCTGAGAAGAGTATTTCTGAGCTGAAAATAGGGGGGGGGGGATCTCAAAAGCAATAGCGAGTTTCCTAGAACACTACAACCAACATTTGATAATTTAGCCAAAGAAGTGGGACAAAGGCTGAATGAGATGTCCAAATGTATGCATTAAAGTAATGCATACTTCAGTATGATTTTGAATCTGTAAACGGAATATAAATTGTAAGAATGCATTCATGTTTGCAGAAAGATTCAAGTTCAAGTTTGCATTATGAAGTTGTCAGCTGTTCAGTGAACATTCACTGAAATAGCAATAGCAACAGCAGTAGACTTATATACCGCTTCATAGGGCTTTCAGCCCTCTCTAAGCGGTTTACAGAGAGTCAGCATATTGCCCCCAACAATCTGGGTCCTCATTT